CCTACACGTACCTTTGCTTTCTTGCTCTGCAGTTGTTTTATGTTGGCAGTTGGCTTGTGATTAAGTTGATAGTCTGAGGCCATATTTTAATGGGCTGCTTTATAATTCTATACATGGGTACAAGCACATGCATGTGTGCATGCACACACAGACACAGTGGAATAATTCCCACAGCTTCTTTTCCATTACATAGACTAGCATTTTTTTGCCAAATGTTTTAACTACTCTGTTAAATAAAACATTTTAAAACAAAGCTAAAGCTTTTATGACTTGCAGTATATGCTGAATGTAAACTTGTTTGTAGTGCAATTCAAGCAAGCATTTAGAAGTAAAATTTTTAATTCTCCTTATCAGTGACCTGAAATGTTATTTTTGTAGTTGATTTTTTTTCCTTTGTATCACTTTTTTACTCCTCTAAAGTTCACCACTGTGTCTTTTATCTGACTTCCAAATAAATTGAATGGCTTCATGCTTAGAAATAAAAATAAAGCACAAACAGCAAAGAAAACAGAGCAGGGTTGGTAACTGCCTAGCAGATGGTGTGACAGAATGGGCTGTTTTATGCCTGTCCAGATACTGAACTGGGAATTGCCATTTGCATATTCCTCAGAGATACTTTGGGTCCAATTTTACTTTTTTTCTGTGATATTTTATTATATTGAAGCATCTATTCATACATAGAACTTTATTAATCCTCACTTTACTTATGTTGGGATTGTGGATTTCATTGTTATATGGACGATTTGTGAATTTTGCTCAAGTGTGAAAGTGAATGTGATGTAGCAAACATTATGTTGGAAATACACTGATTCTTGCACAGAAATGAAAGAATTGTAGGATGTGTTAACTAAACAATTCATGTAGGTGAGGGAAAGCTGCATTGTGTAACTAGCTGAATATAAAGAACTTAAACTCAGAAGCTGTAATTCTACTTTTCTGGTACTGAGTTTTTCTTGGTTTAATTCATGTAGCTTCTGTGTTTTGAACTTTTATGTGCTGATACTTGAATACATGAACGTATCTTATAATTTCACTTTTGAGTTAAAGGCAGTTGATAAAACTTTCTTGTCCCGAAAAACTGAAAATGTGCAGCATATTTCTTGGTTGGACTGTTTTATTTTACATCGTTTTACTGAAGCTATCGATAGTTTTATTCACTTCTTTTTTAATGATTCCTGAAATCACTACCAGCACACGAGTGGAAAAGCGCTTTCTGGCCGTTTGCCAGGCTGAGTCACTGGGCAGCAGATTTTAACCTGCAGAGAGCAATAGTGTTTCTTGTAACAGACTCCCTGTAAGTCCACTGGCTTTTTTGTTCTGTTATTGATGTACAACCTCTAGCACACAGAGACCATATACACAGTTTGTTTGTAAAGCTGGAATTTCTCAGCACCCTTGGATAAATGAGACAGTCTTCGTATGTCCAACTCGTTGCAGTCACAACTGCAACTTTTTCCATGCCATAATCCAGTAACTTTGAGGACATTATTCGTTAAGGTGCTTAGAACTTCACGTTTGTATTTATGTTTAAAACCTGCTTCTTCTCACCTCCCTCTGGGATTGCAGTCCTGAGATAGCTGCTGCCTTTCAGTTCCTTTCTTGCAGCAGGCTTGGAGAATTCTCTAGGCAGTTGATTTTGAAAGTTCATATAGGTCTGCCAGCTGCAAGTACCCTCAGTAGTAGCTGATTGGGATTTCCTACTCTATTATATGTAGTTATGCATTTTCATACTAGTCTCTAAATATTAGAGTTTTGAATTATCATCACAGGCTGATGGGAAAATCTGTTAATGTTTAAACCCAAAAATAATTGATAGGATTTTGCATAAGCCTTGTAAAATACAGGAAGAAAGGTTTGTAGGGCTGGTGTCTTCTACTAGATCAACAGATACTGCTGGAAAAAATTACCTGGGCTTTACTGAATACACTGTTTTCATCAGGTCTGACAAGGCAGTGATGCACACTGTTTCACAGGGAAGATGTTCCTCAAACTTGTTCACCCTTGCCAATTATTTTAAATCTTGTATAAAATTAGACTAGCAACATCTGAATGCTGCCTTGAGAATAATTTATAGAGTGGAAAATACTATCCAGCTAGAAAATACTGAGGAAGAGAGACTAGCATGTGAAGGCAAGTTTTTGATTAAAAGTATTTGGCAGCTTAAAATTCAATTATTTCAGTTGGCACAGTGCCATGTGTGCAGCTGACATGTACATCCCAGCATTCTTCCTTATTTTTGCTTGTAGCTTTTATCTTCTTTGGTGTTTGTTTCTATGTAGTTCACCTGAAGTTAGTTTTCCTTCACAATCTACATCTTTAGGCTGGGTGTGTTGAAGTGCTCTATCTTGAAATGTGTCAGTTCTGGAGTTGGTGCAGTGTCTATACAGCTGAATGTCATTGTCAGCTCTGAACATCTTGTATAATCCTGCATATATATGATGCTGTCAGATTGGACATGTCTTGGACTGGTGATGGTAATATTGATAGTACAATCTTTCCTTCTTACATCTGGAAGACTGCCAGCAGCGCAGAGCAGAGAGCGGCAGCGGCACCGGCAGCGGTGAGAGCTGTTCCTTTAAATTGCTGAGGATTTGAGAAGGGACCGGGCTTCCCGGAGATGGTGAAGCTGGGACAGAGCCGGGACAGAGCCAGGAGACCCGAGTCTGAGCGGGAATCCTGCGAGAAACAGGAAGGCTTACGTGGCGGGGGGCATGGCTGAGAACGGTGGCAAGATTTGGCAATTTGGCAGCCTCCCCCGAGCATGCGGCAGCGCGGAGAAGAGAGCAGCAGCAGCTGTCACAGGGCAGGCACGAGGGCAGGCAGGAAGCAGAGAGCAGTGGTTGCTTTCTCATAGCAAGACAGGCAAATTAGCTACACAGATCATGGTCACAACGCGCCCAAAAACCATAGTGAAAAAGAATGTAGGAACTCAGACGGAGCTTCCAAGCAGGCACACAGCAGAGCAGGTCTCTGGCTGCAGTGAATGCCTGAGCCTGGCACTGGTACCGGAGGGAGCCAGTGACACTGCATGTGTGCAGTGTGAACAAGTAAATGATCTCCTCAGGCAGGTGGTTAAACTGACAGAGGAGGTTGAAAGACTAAGAACCATTAGAGAATGTGAGAATGAAAGAGATTGGTGGAGTCATACCCTGAGGCAGGGACAGATGGAAGAGGTTGAGAAAGTGATGGATCCCCTCTCCTCCTGTCACCAGACAGAAAGAGAGGACTTAAGAGACATGAAGGAATGGAGGGAGGTCTGATCTCGAAGAGGCAAGCAAAAACCCTCCCAATCCCCTCCACCCTCCCAATTGCCCTTGAAGAACAGGTATGAGGCCTTGGAAATTCAGGGACAGGAAATTGAAGTTGGAGAGGTAGACTTATCTAGCGAAGTACCTAGGACTTGTCAGTCACCCCAATGCCTTAGGACTTCTTCAATCAAGAAGGAAAGGAAAGTAATTGTGGTGGGTGACTCCCTTCTAAGGGGAACAGAAGGGCCCATCTGTCGACCGGACCCATCCCACAAGGAGGTCTGTTGCCTCCCTGGGGCTCGGATTAGAGATGTTAAAAGGAAACTCCCTAATCTTGTAAATTCCTCCTATTACTATCTGCTGCTGATTTTTTCAGGTTGGCAGTGACGAAATTATTACAAAAAGTGTAAGGGCAATGAAGAGAGACTTCAGGGCCCTGGGACAGCTAGTTAGGGGGTCTGGAGCACAAGTAGTGTTTGCCTCCATACCTTCTGCAAGAATAGGTGGGGAGGTAAATAGGAAGAGTTTACAGGTCAACGAATGGCTAAGAGACTGGTGCCAAAGACAGGGTTTTGGTTTTTTGGTCATGGGCTGCTTTATGAGACACCTGGCCTGGTGGTGGCAGGTGGGATGCACCTGTCCCAGAGGGGGAAGAGGCTTTTGGGGCAGGACTTAGCCGGGCTCATTGAGAGAGCTTTAAACTAGATGTGAAGGGGGAAGGAGAGAAAACTGGGTCTGTTAGGGACAAGTCCAAGAGGAACATACCAGGGCCCAAAGGCAGGTGGTCTAAGGAGGATTTGGTCCCACTGGTGCGCTCTGCTTGCTTCCTGAAATGCT